GTCGGTGTATCATTCTGTGCATAAACTTTATTGTAAATATTCATTTATTTATTTATTTTATATTTATAGTCTATTCTGTTAGTAAGTTGTACTTGTGTGACTGAGATTAATTTTCGTTATATTAAATTATTCGCTTTAATGTTTTTTGTGTATGATTAGTTTATCTGTTTTGTAATTTATTCCAAACAACGAATTTTCGAAAAGAACGAAATATTCGAATGAAGAGTACCATGGGGCGACTTCAAGTGTTTTGTACAAAATTGACAATGGTGATTAAAAACAAAAACATTTTTTTAAAGGGTCGCTAACCTTACATTGGAGGATTTCAACTGCATTCTTAAATTCTTAGGGAATTTCTGTAAAACGAGTGCAGTTCAAATTGTTTTGGTATTTTTGTTCTTGATAGAGGCAATTTGCAATGAAGAATTTCCATGAATCGTTAATATATGTGCTGCATATTCCCACAACATTTTAAACATATTTTGGAATATTCTCAAGATATATCACTGTCAGGTTAAAAGTTTCATTTTGTTCAGTTCCAAGAAATTTATTGTTTGGTGTTTAGGCAAGATAGGGTAATAATTGTGTAATTGAGCTTATTGTTTTATGTATAATTCAGTGTTCTCAAAAGGTGCAAAGAAAAAGATGCCTATCAGTTTGCACGTTTTCATTATATTTGTTGAAAACTTTTGGAAGAATTTCAATGAGTGTGAAGCAGTTTTTAATCTATCTTGCAAATATTTCAGATTACTATAATTTTATAACGAGTTTTATTCAAAAAGTACACGTTTCACCAGATCTTGAAAATGTATTACTAAAAAGCAGTAATTTTGTACCTGATAATCAGAAATTAAGTGAAAATTACTGCAAAGGTGATTTTTAGCTCCTACTAGTCGTAGACCAAAAGAGATTGTTGGATAGTCTGTTGTCCGTTCGCTACTTCTCCAAACCACTTGTTGAAATGCAGTGGAACTTTACATAGCCATTCCAACTATGGTCTTGTTTGTCCTAGATAAAAATGCCGTTTTCCGCAAATTATAGATCTCGTCACTAGTCCTCTTGAAATAATGGTGATTTCAACTAATGGAGTTTCGGCAAAACACTTCCAATCCATGTAATAGTTGGTCCTAAATAAAACTGGAGTCGATCCGATGTTCCATATGGAGGCCATTTTGAACTCTTGTTATCACTACTTCTCCTGAATGGATGGTCAAATAAGCGTGGAATCGTCACTGTAATGCTTCTTATGAAAATGGTCCTTAGTTGGATCCAGAATGGCCTCTAGTTGCCATCTTGAAAACCATATTATTGCTACTAATTACATGGATGGTCATATCAACATGGGGTCTTGAAAATCATTTTATTGCATCTTCTCCTGAACAGAAAATTGTATTTAAACCGAAAAAAACTCTTACATGAACATTGTGCCGATGTGACATCGATTATGGTTGCCACACAAAGGAAATCTTTAACTTCTTGCTATCGCTACTTCACCTAAATGGAAGGTCGTATTCACACGAGATTTTCGCTTGAAGAGTACATGGTCCTTAAATAAAATGTTTCCAATATTGCCACCACAGATTCCATCGGGTAAATCTTTTTATCTATTATTCCTGAACAGAAAGTCATCGATATCGATTGAAACCAAAATGACTTTTTATGATTTTGTTTTGTTCTCCTAGGAAATTGTGTTGATCTGGGGTTGCCAAAGTAGACAGCTTAAACTCATTTTCACAACTTGTCCAGTGTTGATCCAAATCATCATGGAGTTTTCACTAAAAGCCGTCTTTAATGTTTTGGTGATCTTGTGTTAAAATGATGATGATATGACGGACAATATGTAGCATTTTCAAAATCCTAGTTAAGATGCTTCTGCCTTTGCATGGAACGTCGCTTTGGCAAGGGGGTTGAGTTCGTCCGATGAGTTCGTATCGTGTCTACTTGGTTCTAACTGAAAATGACTAACTTCACTATGACCACTATGGTGGCATGCTCAAAAATATTGTCTCTTGCAAATGGATGGATATATCAACATCGGGTTTTCATCAGTAGATTTATTATGATACTTGTTTGGTTCCAAACATGAGTAATATCTGTATTTCATGCAATATGATCGTCATGACGACTGTTGCGAAAATCTTCGCACTGTTCCCCTTGAAAGGATGATCGTTATGTCGTTTTCACGGAAAAAAATTTAAATTCTACTTGGTCGTAAATAAAAATGGCGCCTATCTGACAACAAATTGTTGCACTAAATCACACAATTTTGATAATATTCTTGTCGCTGAAAAATATTAGAGATGGTTTCAACAATCAGCATGCAAAAGGAAGAAAGTTCTTATCTTTAATTCCTGGACATTCTTGTCTCCCAGTAGAGCATCAGTTCCGACGTTTGTTTAAATGTACCTTGTTCTTTATTAAAACAGTGCCGAAATCATTTAGTTTTGAGATGTGAATTAAATATGCATGTTTCTTGCAAATTTTAACTTCATGTATAAATGTGAATGACTTTTTGAATGTTTTCACATGGAAATTGTCTTGCCTAAACTTTATGATCAAGTGTCGAAAATGCATAAAAAGTGAGAAAAATAAATGCATTTTTCGATAATGAAGTGATTGCTTCTTTCATTTGATTTTGATATTTATTTATCCCATTCAGAAACGATAGTTTCTTTACCCAAGGGCAATTTTAACATTGCGGCCAGAAGAACCACCCCACGGACAGCTACTGACACTTTCTCTCATACCAACGTAGGCCGAGGACAGGGACGATATATGAGATACATGTACTTGATTAGGCTAGCGGCTTAGAACACGTGGACACCCGAGGCCCACATGATAATGAGAGAATAGTATAATGAAATAGAAAAGAAGTTCTTTACATAGCCCGAGCCCAAGGCCGCTTTGACATTCTTGCGCGGGGAAAAAAAATGAAAACATTCGAATATTCAGCCCATTCGTAGTATTGTTTTCCTCATCATGTGGTGTGCTTCTAGTTTCGTAGGCAATTTTATGGAGAAATAAAAATGGCAGATACGTTTGCAACTGAGAGTTGATATAGGTAAACTAGCCAGGATCGAATTTGCACCAGTTTAAATATCCTACGTGACGTTTAATTTACTTGAATTAAAAAAAAAATACGTTAACGCTGATCATTTTAATTATATTTTTATAAGCAGTTCAACCCACTGCACTCGAGTATTTTATCCGATGCGCGACTTTAAAGGTAAGACAAATATATTCACTTGCTGCATGCTCTTCACGCTCAGATACTTGTCTTGTGTGGCGTTCTGCGCGATTAAATCACGGCAGATTGATATTTCTGGTTTGTCAGTATCACCTGATCGATATTACGACATCTGTCGGTTTGTATATAGAATTATCTACGTACGATATTAAATTTCTTGATGAAAATTTACTTTTGTCAGAGAAAATATCATTTGGAAATAGTAATGAAAAGAAAATTTAACATTTTAAACACTTTATTTAAAATCGGTAATATTCTATATAACTATCTCAGTTTGTTATACTTGAATAATATTTATGCTTATTATTTATTTAGTTCTTCAGTGGAATGGATAACAAAATAAATAATATGATATTTAAATACGAAATTTCATCATTTATTGGGCTATGAAGATATTGAGTAATAAAACCGGTTTCTTTTATATGGAATTTTCGATTAACATATTTCGATAGCATCACCATAAGCCTGCTGCTGCTGCTGCTCTCTCTCTCTCTCTCTCTCTCTCTCTCTCTCTCTCTCTCTCTCTCTCTCTCTCTCTCTCTCTCTCTCTCTCTCTCTCTCTCTCTCTCTCTCTCTCTCATGAACTATGGTGACATTTTCGATATGTTATGTTTAGAGTTTTCTTAAGAAAAACCGTCTCCGTTGAATGGTCACCATTCATATGCAACAACAGTGCCTTTGCATATGAAAATAACAGAAAATGGAAATTATTAACCCATGTTACAATCCATATAGCTGGATGCCAGTCTGATTGGAGCATTGTCCTTAGTATGGACGACCTAGATTTAATTCGGTTTCTGATCAATATGATGTTTCGGAGAGCGAGTTCAATTACCGATTCTACGATTGAAAAAGATAATTTAGTCGAGTTCATGACTCTTGTGTATCAAAGAAAGAAACTGAGAAAGAAAGAAGTCATTTAAAGTCAACCCAGAAAGCAGTACGACAGATGAATCAAATTGTGCCCTCGGGATAACCTTGTCTTTCAAATAGAAAATATCATAACTGATGCTATACTTGGCTGGTACTTGCTTAAATTGGCAGGCCAATGTCATAAGACAGAAACTAATAAAAAAAATTTCCTTGACGTCAGAGCGCTGCATTTTTTTAAAAAAATGGCCGTTGATGTTATCTGCGGTCTCGCAGATACAAGAAGTGTGACAATATAAGTCAGCGAAATGGTGGGAGGGGGGGGGGCTTTTCCAGTTATGTACTTTTGAGAAAGTGGCATATATCAGGTAAAGTTGTTTGCATTTGAAACGTGCACAGTCGAAAGAATGTTGGCATATCTCTATGCTACTATGGCAGACTAGACAAAACCAGTTTCTGAAAGTACGATCAATGAATTACTAAATACATAAAATGTAATTTTAAAAAAGTTATAGGCCTTTTTTTCACAACTTACTTCTCAAGTCCAGGAAGTGATAATGACGAATTGGAGTTAGCAGTTTTTTGAGAGGTGCGCATCTGCAGTAAGGACAAGTTGTATACTCTTTTACCCATATTACACCCATGAATTTTACACCAAAAAAAGGAAATACAAAGTTTTTTAACAATACCTAATATACAAACTCTTTTCTTAAATAGCCATTATAATTAGTGGTGAAACCCGAAAAAGTTTTCTTTTTTCTGTTAAAATTTTTTAGTGTGCAAAATACGAAACTGTCCTGTACCACCATAGAAAACCAGAGTAAATATAGTGTATATGGGAATTTTGCGTCAAGTTACATATATTGTTGAAGGTATTTTCTTCGCTCCAGTGGCATAGTGGTTAGAGCGTCCGCCTCAGATGCAGTAAGTCGTGGGTTCGATCCCCGGTCGAGTCATGCCAAAGACTTTCAAAAATGATACTAACAGCGGACTAGTCGAGGGGGAGGAAGTGGAGGAGGAGAAGGAGAAACAATTTGGAGAAAGGTATGGGAGGTAGAGGATAAAGAAGTGGGAGAAATAAGAGAGAGAAGGATACCCCAGATGAGTAAAAATGTAGAAATACAAAGACAGATGGAGATCGGTATCACAATACTAATCAAGTGATGCGAGAGGAAGGAGTGTATTTGTAAATTTAAAAAATGATACTAACAGTATCAAAAATGATACTAACAGCTGCCTCGCATGACGCTCAGCATTAAAAGGTTAGTGTTAGGACTGGTCGGCCTGGTGTCAGGATAATGTGACTGGATGGGACACCATGCTACATATCTACGGCATGATGCCCCAGTGCTAGACATCACTATAAACTGCCACACTGCAGACATCGTAGCGATATGACTGAACGATTGTTAAAGCTATATTAAAAATCTTAATTACACATCACTTCACATCTTCAAGAAGTTGCATACACTCATGGAGAAAAATAAAAAGCGGAGTAACTTGAATTTTGTCGGACAAAATTGTAGTGCGCTTAAAAATAAAGACTGAGTATTTCAAAGTATTGAATCAGACCTTCTAATGATGTCACAAAAAATCCGCCCAAAAAGTTTATTTAGTCACTCAGTTGTATTCTAGCTATTGTAGTGTGCAACCACCGACTAAGAAATGTGCTTTACAAGTTTCATCGAACTTAAAATGGTGCTGCGCGGACAGCCATGATGGCCGGTAAAAGCGGCCATCTTGAATATTTAGTTATTGCTGCTTCTACTGAATGGATGGTTATATCAATACGGAATTCTCATTTAATGACTTAATAGGAGACCCTATTGATCCAAAAATTTGTGCTAATCTGATGTCTGATTCGGCTGACACATAAAACATTTTGAAAATCTTCAAATCGGAATTATTACTAGTGCAAGTCCTATTAAAATCAGGCTTATTAATATTATTTCAGGACTATACATTAATACACGACACCATGTGTGGCGAAGTATATATATATATATATATATATATATATATATATATATATCTATATATATATATATATATATATATATATATATATATATATATATATATATATATATATGTTGGAGTGGGGTGCTCTCAATATTTTATTGAAACTATTATAGAAGTCCCATCCAGGTTCTATTTTGCTGGAAGTTTAATTTAGTGAAAGATATGCCGATGGTTAGATGGTTAAATGTAAACAAAAGTTGAAATCCAGTGAATAACAATTTTATATCAATTCAATAATTGAATAACTCAAATTTACAAATACACTCCTTCCTCTCGCATCACTTGATTAGTATTGTGATACCGATCTCCATCTGTCTTTGTATTTCTACATTTTTACTCATCTGGGGTATCCTTCTCTCTCTTATTTTTCCCACTTCTTTATCCTCTACCTCCCATACCTTTCTCCAAATTGTTTCTCCTTCTCCTCCTCCACTTCCTCCCCCTCGACTAGTCCGCTGTCGACTTCGACTCTAGGATAGACTCATTTTCGTTTCCAACTCTTGAAGACTTAGGACCTAATGGAACCCGAAGTTCTGTGTCCCCTAAATTCTTCCCTTTGAAATCACGAGGACTGTACAATGTTTTTCCTTATCCATCTCGTCTCACAATACCCACAGCCTATCATCATATAACAGCTATTAAATTGTTTCGGTCACGCATTCTTTCACATCGATATACCTATACGTTCTTGTATGGTAAAACATCAGTACATATTCTTAATCCAGTTATGCTAAACAATATCATCATAATCAGATGCATTTCTTTATCTTACAACTCCTACAAAGTACGGTGGTGCCAACGATATAACATTTGGTTTAATCACCATCAAAGAAGTTTATACACGAACGGATATGAAAAATGTGATGAAATTCAGTTATCACCCATTGAAGCATTCCATTCCATGCCGTCACTCGAAAATATATTTACGCCTTCAACTATGCGCATATAAACAATGTCTGGTCTACATTTGAATGTAAAATCACAGTTGACTATCATAATTTGTATTTAAAAACGTATGTGCTTCCGCTAGCGGATGTATTTGAGATGTCTCATGATAGAACAATGCGTGAATGCAAGGTCGATCCCGCGAACTACTTTTCATTACTAGGAATGGTCTGAGACGCATTATTGTATAAACCAAAGCTGAACTGGTATTGCTCATCGACATCTACCAACATCGGTTTGTTGAAAGAGGAATGTGTTATGTGTTTTGATGGCAAGCCACCGATGCGTACGCGTCAATAACCCAGGTGTAGAGAAATATGATCCCGCGTCCCTCATTTGATTAATCCTGAGAGCGTAAACATAAACGAATATAAAGCTGACATAAATCAGGTAGGTTTTCGAGGATGATCCATATTGTACCTAGATGAACTTCACAAGCTCATAATGATTATCTGATAGCACTAGAAGCGCTATCGGTGCAGCATGATTAGTTGTCCCCGTATGAATGAAAGACTATGATAAAACTTCCAGCTGTACTTGCGCATCGGTATTAGTATATGCAAAGATAAGCCTGGAAGGCCCACGAAGATTTGACGACTGTCTCATAGCCGTGTACAGCCAATACATCGAAATTTAATCTGGCTGTGGTTTCAATATTTAACATTGACAGATGGAAGATATGTAACTCACTAGCAAGATCGTGCTCTCAAAGTCGCAGAAATCATTGACAATTCTTGTGCGTACCGATAACCGCTCCACATGTGTATGGTTAAATCGTTCGACAATAGCTTGCCCGATGTATATATAAACACGTCTGACGTTTCCTCACTATTTACTTAACCAGAACGTTTCGAAATTTATAGCGGGTTTGGACATAACAGTTTGGAAAAATTATGATAAATATAATATAATAACTTGCTGATTGGGATCAACACAGTAAAGCTGCCCACGAACGCCAGGAACTGATTCCCAATGTTTCAGCTGGTCGCAAACGTGTTAAAGATACGTTAAGTCGAGAAAGACTATACAGAAAGATCGCAGAGAAGGCTTCGAATAAATATGGTAGATCTGCTGCAGCCCACATGTGAAATATGCATGAGGTAAAGAAATTTTCCAAAACTTCCATAGTGATGGTGGGAACTGAAGAACCTAATTCGATTCCCAGTACAATCCGATCCTTTGAACAGTTTTCTGCGAGGAACAATGTGTAACAGTATAGGACGAAAACATCACGACAACATTTAATGAACCTGACCATCAGCGAGTCTTTGGAAATCCTATAAATGCTGTTATTTATGTAACCTCAAATAGCAACAGTACGTGGGGAAAAAATAGCATTCAACATGAAAGATGTATGGACCAAGTGGATATACAGAAAAATTACTGGATTTATACAAACTACTATCCCGATGTTTGATCAGCATAGTAGAATGCAAGAAGCAATTAAAACCGAAGAAGTTGACATTGATAAAGCAACTGAACTTTTTCTTAGAATTTATGCAATAAGTAAATATGTAAATCCTTGGAATACGAAATAGCGCATCGCAGTTCAAGCTTGAATCCGGACCATCATACGAGTCTGGTCCCTGGTACAAATATCCACTAATACAATTTTCCCGCACCTGTTTGAAAGGTAGCATCTGCATGAAACAAGAATATGATATGACTTGCGCAAAACTTGTCACGGGTGGGAATCTCGCAAACCTGAAATGGCAGAAGCGTGGTTGTACTTGTATTACGGTGGGTCTAATAGCCGAGCATAACCATTTATTTTCGTGCGTCTGGCGAAGCCTGGAATGATATTAAACTTCGATGGGGAATTTGGATACCATCTCAGTTAAATCTGCACTGTAAGTGACTACCATCGCAAGGTTAATATGGACAGAAATAACTATTAATTGGTCTAAAGTCTTTAAGATAACAAAGAAATCCTACACGTAAAACCTCAAGGGTTTTGGATACCATATCGAGACTGGCATTGTCAGGATTACCACAGCGATACCGCTTAATCTAGTATATGACACTACTAGCACCAGTTATGAAAACTGAACTCCCACATGCGTATCTACCCAAGGTTTCATATTACTTAAATTCTCCCCAACAACAGAACAGGGTGATCTGCTATCGATTACGTAAACAGAGAGTTAAGTAACGTTCATGCGGCAGAATTTATGCCTTTTGTTTTCTGAGCCGAATTAATGTAAAATATAGATATACTTGGGAATGTGACCTATTGTCTATTGCGAGACATTTTTATTTATTGAAGGAAACAGCTGTCCTGGATTCACATGAGAATATCCCTGAACAATCATAGGACCAGAACAAATTCTACGCAGAAATCTTAGTCCAGAGACGATTGTTACAATATCGGGTTTACACATACATGTTACTCTGGTTGACCAAAATTGACACATGTTCGATCTCTACTAGGAAACACTTGAGATCGACCTTAATATTTAATACAATGTTAGTAGTACGTGGACATGTGATGCCCCTGTGTGATGACAATGCAAAGAAACTTATTTACATCACGTATTATGGAACTGGCTTTGGTGTTGTTGTTGTTGTTATTATAGGGTTTAACGCCAGTTTTTAGCACAAGATGGGCTATACATGGCGAACTGTACAACTGGAGGAAGAATCCTGTAACACCCCGAGAAGAACCACCGACCCATGAAAAACTACTGGTAAGCTTTCTCAAGTACCCACGTTACCGAGCCTGAGACTCGAACCCACGCAGAGGTGAGGCAGTGATTAGAAACAGTGAGCGCTTTTGAAAGCTCGCCCCCCCCCCCCGCTTGGTGATGTTGTTCATGTAATGATAAACAATATATAAAACCGCTATTACCATAGTGATTAACAACATACAAAACCCCTATTACCATAGTGATTAACAAGATACAAAACACCTATTACCATACTACTAAAGCTCACATAAACGGGCGTTAAACGCGTGAGCGATCTGTATGTAAAAAAAAAATATATACAA